TTCAGGGTCTAGGGTTTAGGTTTTAGGGTTTAGGGTTTCGGGCTCAGGGTCAAGATTGAACACGAAGCTTAGGGTTTTTAGTGCTTGGGATGAAGGGTTAATTAGGATTCGTCAGGATTGTTTAGGGTTTAGGGTTGTAGGGTTGGTTTAGGGTATAGTAGAAGCCACAAAGTTGGAACATGACTATCCTCATGCCCTTTAGGTAAAACTTAAGGGATCCTAGCACTTATCCTCCTAAACCCATGTTCCAACTTTCTGGCTTCTACTATATTTGGGTTTGGGATTAAGGGTTAGTTAGGATTCCCTATGGTTTAGGAACTAGTTTCTTTATAGACTTATAAATATCATAACCCCAATTAGGGTCCCTTTTAGAGTACTGATAAGTCTACTTAGTACCTACTTACTACCCGACCTTTCAAGTAGGGTTTGGGATTAAGGGTTAGGATTTGTTTAGGGTTTAGGGTTTGAACACGAAGCTTAGGGTTTTAGGGCTTAGGGAAGCTTAGGGTATTAGGCTTGGGATTAAGGGTTAATTAGGATTCTTTAGGGTTTGGGGTTTAGTAGGGAAGGTTAGGGTATTAGGGTTTTGGAACAAGAGTTAGGATTTTTAGGGTTTAGGGTTTAGGGGAGCTTAGGGGTATTAGGGTCTGGGATTTAGGATTAGGGTGTTGTAGGGCTTTACCGCATGTTCTAAACACTATTCAGCCGTCAGGGTCTTACAGGATTTTATCGATTTCAATGCTTTGAGAAAGACGGGTTCTACCGGTTTCACAAAGGGAGTCGAGCTCTTCTTTAAGAACAGGGTTACAAAAAAAAAGGAAAAAGAAAAGAAAAAATCTTTTTTTTTATCTTTCTCCTTTCTTGCTTTTCTTCTTTAAGAACAGGGTTGCAAAGATGGCTTAAGGCGTCAAAAGGCTAGATTGAATGGTTTAGGGTTCAGGGCAACCCTAAACCCTAAACCCTAAACCCTAAACCCCTAAACCCTAAACCCTGTAAACCCTTAGGGTTCAGGGTTTATCGAGAAATAACTACAGTATCAATCCACCCAAAACCTTAGTTTCAGAGCCCGGGGCTCATGTCGATACAAAAAGTTCTTAAAACCCATTATAGAACTCTTATAGATCCCTTTTAAAGGAACCTTTAAAGAACCATTATAGGTCCCTTATTGGGTCCTTTGGACCCTTAGGGTAACACCTAGACTCTAGACCCTAAACCCTAAACCCCCAAAGCCCTATACCCTAAACCCTAAACCCCCAAAGCCCTATACCCTAAACCCCTAAACCCTAAACCCTCAACCCCCAAAGCCCTATACCCTAAACCCCTAAACCCTAAACCCTCCCTAAAGTTAGCTGCTCCTGGGTCCTCAGGCTCTCTCTGACAACCCTCAACCGTGAAGCCTCCAACCCTAAGCCCGCAATCCTTCTCGATAGGGGTTCGGGGTTTAGGGTTTAGGGCTTCGAGTTTTGAGGTTTAGAGTTTAGGGTTTAGGGTTTTCGAGTTTAGAGGTTTAGAGTTTAGGGGTTTAGGGGTTCAGGGTTTCGAGTTTAGGGGTTTAGGGTGTAGAGTTTAAGGGTTCAGGGTGTAGAGTTTAAGGGTTCAGGGTTTCGAGTTTAGCGTTTGTGGGTTTAGGGCTTCGACTTTAGGGTTCAGGGTTTCCAGTTTAGGGGTTTAGGGTTTAGACTTCAGGGTTCAGGGTTTCCACTTTAGGGGCTTAGGGTTTAAGGTTTAGATTTTAGGGTCTCAGGTTTCGAGTTTAGGTGTTTAGGGTTCAGGGTTTAGACTTTAAGGTACAGGGTTTCCAGTTTAGGGGTTTAGGGTTGAGGGTTTAGACTATAGGGTTCAGGGTTTCCAGTTCAGGGGCGTAGGGTTTAGGGTTTAGAATTTAGGACTCAGGGTTTGCAGTTTTGGGGCTTAGGGTTTAGCGTTTAGAATTTAGAGTCTAGGGTTTCGAGTTTAGGCGTTTAGGGCTTAGGGTGTGGGGCTCGGCTTAAGGGTGTATGCAAACTCTTCCTTTTTTGGGTTTAGGGTTTAGGGTTTAGGGTTTAGGGTGTATGTAAACTCTTCCTTCAAGCATGTCCTTCAACACGCAACTCTTCTATGTTTTGAGCATTCTCAGGTTCTAACTAACGGATCAATCCGATGGTTTAAGCTAGATATGGCTTTTGTTGAGGAAATGGGTGCTCAGGAATTTGGGGTGGGTGTTTTCGAGTTTGGTTCGTAACCAGTTTCCTTACAGCCCAAGCCCATGTTTTCAGAACACTCTAAGATACAAAGCTACCGGTACTATTGTCATTTAGTTACTATCTCAAGCCCAGGTACATGACTATACGGTACTTTGGACCATTCAACTAAACCCTAAACCTGTAATCTGTAACCCCTGTCATAAGTAGTAGAATCTTACAAGCACCTTACTACACCAATATCGAAACTGTTAAGCCCAAAAGTAAACCCATCGAGCACAACATCTTCCATTTCCCTCTGGACTTTCAGGAGGAACCGTGTCACACAAACACCAAGCTACCAAATGCTCCCGTGTCTTGATTTTTCTTGAAGAAGAATCCTAAACTCCAGACATTACACCCTGAACTCTAAAACTCAAGCCTACTACGATTATTAGTACATCTTACCATTATAGTTATGATACCTATTGTTATGATCATTGTTATTTCCCGAAGCCCTAAACACTAAACCCTAAACCCTAAACCCTAAACCCTAAAGCCTAAACCCTAAACCCTAAACCCTAAACCCTAAACCCTAAACCCTAAACCCTAAACCCTGGGTTGGACCTTTCAGCTAAGGAGCCCATGGTTCTCGTGGTCCTACGCCCCTGTGCTGCACTGCATGGCCAGGTTTCTGGGTTCAGCTTTAGCGGCCTTTAGCGTTTAGGGTTTAGGGGTTGATTAAGGTTTAAGGCTTAGGGTTCAAGATTTAGGGTTTAGGGGTTCAATGTCTAAGGTTTAGGGTTTAGGATTTAAGG